GCACCCTGTGGTAGGAGAGTCAAGGTGGAATCCTCGGAGGGTTGGATCTCTGCACCCAGAGCTGCCTCCAAATGGAGTTGTGAGCCCTACCATGGTGAGGCTGAGCTTTGTCCTTGACTGTCAACCACCAAATCCCATCCTTCCTTCAAGGGAAGACTTTTGGACATGTACCAAAGCCTTCTCTTACGATGGTTTGTCTTGTTTTCTGCTGTGGATAAATGGGTTGCTTGCTGCAGCTCCAGCCTCTCCTGCCAGCAGCATCAATACTGCAGCTTTCACTGTCTCATTTTGTGCCTCACCAGGCATTTTCAATCCCAAAAGTCTATTTTAGGAACCTAAACAAAAACATACAGCCCAATCAATCATGAGTCCATATTTAGGTGCTGGTGCTTAAAAGCCATTTACCTCTGGTTCCAAGAGAGTCCTATAAAAACTCACAAGGGAAGGTTGGCAATTTTTTTGGCTGGCATTGTTTCTTAGAACATAATTTTTTCTCCTGCCTTACAGGCAGGAGTTCAGTGTCCCTGACACAGCTGAGGCCACGATGGAGGAAACACAATATTGGTGCAGTGTGGACGGGGGGATGGCCCAGGTTTGCTGAGGCTGGGCTGGCACAGGCACCCCCAGCACCCCCGAAGGGAGCACAGCCAGCTGAGCCCAGCACTGCAGGGCACCAGAACAACCAAAACCAGTCTGGGTCACAGCAGGACAACCTGCCGAGGGATGGGATGTGGGCATGTCCCCTCCAAATCAAAAACACAGCCATCCTCCCTAAGCAGGCTCTTCCTGGAAACCCCAGGGCTCATTTCATTTGCATTTTACAAGCCAGAAATGCCCATCCCAGGGAACATTATTGTGGACATGACCCTAAAACTGTATAGAAAATCAGACCAAAGGCATTACTGAGCAAAACCCCAAAGCCCAACTTCCTCAGGAACACTAGGAACACTGTTAATGAATTCCAAAGTGGGATGAATAAAACTGCAGTGGAGCTGCCTCTGCAGCAGGCAGGAGCCCAGGCTGCGGGTGAGGGCTGGGATGTGCTGGCAGTGCTGCAGGGAGACCCAAACAATGACTACAAACACTCTGGGATTGAGCACAGGAGCATCCAGAGTGTGCAAAGGTGCAAAGAGAGACCTGCTGAGCCACTGCTGCCTCCCTGCTGGACAGCCCCAGCCCAGCAGCACCCCCTGCACATCAGCAGAGGGAGCAGAGCTGACTGCTGGGGCTGTCTGCACAGCCACACTGCCTCTGCTTCCCCATGAACGGGACACCTGAGAGACAGAACACATTGCACCGGAATCTAAAACAAGTTTAATGTTGATATTCAGCTTAATAAAGATGGAAAACAGCAATCATCCCATTCCACCTGAACAGGTTGCACACATTTGGGAAAAATAACCCAAATTAATTGAAGATTCAGTACCTTTTATGCAAAAGAAAAGCAGGATACATGATGTACCTGCCCAGTGTTTGATTTGCTTAAACCAACAGCCAACCCCTGCATTCATGGTTCAGTCAAAAATTTGAGGGTTTATATTTAACACACAAAACATTCACACAGAGGTTATTTGTTCCATACAGCCAGTTGAACTATGTTTCTTTATCAAGCCTATAAAGCAACCCAGCAAATTCTACTTTTAAGAAATCATACGTAAAATCTGATAAACATTTTTAAGGACAATTAGAACACCCAGTACATGACTTAACAGATAAGCAGAGCACAAACCATGCAGCAGTAAAGCTGGGACCTTCACAGCTTCCTTTTTCCAGTGAATATCCAGTGCTGGTTTGTTTCACTATTTCCTGCTATTTCAAGGATTAAAGAAAGGAAGTAGGAGCAAGATACATGCTTTAAACCCCCCCCCCCCCCAAACAACACAACGAAAAAACCCCGAATAAACAAAACCCCCAAACAAAGCCGAAAACACTTGCTCTATTTTAGGCATCCCCCTGGGTTTCCAGGTGCTCCCCTGGAGCTGTGCAGGGCAGGAGCAGTGGCCCAGCCCAGGCTGCCCCAGCCTCCTGCAGCCTCCCGGAGCTTCTGCTCACCCCATCACCCCAGCAGGGCCCTGCTGCCACATCCCAGAGCCACAGGGCACGTCCTGTGTGCCCACAGTGACCTGGCCCTTGGGCACACAGCCCGGTCTGGAGATGTGATAGGAAGAAAGAAGCAT